TTAAGCTTCCTAATATTCTTGAATGTATTTTCATTTTTATACTACTATGTAATTTTATTAACACAGAAATATAACATACTACTCCTTCCCTCCCTCAATTATTTGGGAGTACTTTATCCATGTTAAGTTTGATTAAATTAAAATAACCCAAAGTTTTAAATTAAAATCTAGATATTTAAAAATAATACAATAAATATGGAGTATAAATTGTGATTTTTCCAATGTCAATATGATTTTTTAAAAATATTTTTAAAATGTCAATCAAAGTTCACATAGTTTAACAATTCATTTTGCCATAAACATTATTCACTTATTAATAACTTTTTACTTTATTTGAAAATCTGCGTTTGACCACGAGAATTTCAAATCCAACTTGAAGTAATTTGTTTGAGGTTGTATTTCAAATTAGGAAAAATTGAACTTGCATATAAATTTATTCAATAATAAAAATTACTCTAAACACTTTTTACAAAGATGCAACTCTATTGAAAATTCCAAATTAGGTGAAAAATATTTGAAATTTCTTGGCATAGGACTACTCAAATCTCCAAAAGTGAAGTGATGAAGTGAGACTTGTTGGTATGTGTTGAAACTTTGTTTTTGTGAATTGTTATTGAGTAAAGCCAATTAGCTACTGGAAAATGGCCCCGCATGTTCAATTTCTGGAGGGGGGCATGCCTCTTTTGTGGACACATTTTGCATAGACCAGATCATTGTAGGTTTCCTCAAAAAATTACATTGTATATATAAAAAGTCAAAATTCTTCACTATTGTACTTTTTGACAAGTGAACTGTCATGTCCCTCCACTTTGCCAGTCAAACTTTGCATCTGGATATAGGTGTAGTTTTTGACAACTATGTTGCAATTGCCGTACGGAACTTTAGTGAGACTCTAACTCCATGACAGAACTATCTATAATATTCTATGTTCATAGATTCATGACTTTGATATTGTGCAATTTGTTTAACAGTTGTATTAAAATTTATCAGGTTAAGCAAATTCCAGAGACATTCTTGTCAACTGATCATTACTTCAAGTCATTCATCAGTCCACTTATAGAAGAAACACATGCTGATTTGCTATCAGGGGTGATAAATGCTTTTCAATCCCCTTCACTTGAGGTTATCAATGTGACAAAGTCATCTGCTTATAAGCCTCCCAAGGGTTTATACTACAACGTTTTGTTGAACACAACTACTATCGAGGGACAAAGATATATGAAAACATATGAACTGGAGGTAGGTGATCTGATTGCACTATCAGATGTGAGGCCGAAAACTACTGCTGACTTGAACAGACCAAAGAGATCATTTCTCATTGCATTTGTCCAAAGCAAAGATGATGGTTCAAACAGGATAACCATCTTGTCTTCGAAGCCTATCCGGTTTAAAAGACCAGATAGAGAAAAGGGTGAACAAGGAGATAGTCTTTTCATCGTTTACCTCTCTAATTTGACAACCAATATTAGAATATGGAATGCTTTGAATTCAGACATGAATAGTGAAAACATCAGGATTGTTAGCACTGTGCTAAACGTTGATCCAAGTGTGGTAAGAATAGTGTTTTTTCCCCGTCAAATATGATCCATATATAATTTATTGATTAGCGTCTAGTCAATTTTAATCATTTGCAGGATGACGAGAATTGCTCTCATTGCTCATCAAGTGAAACAAAAGCTAGTGATATATCAAATCATATGACAACCATCGACTCTTTTGGGCTAGATAATGCTCAACGAGAGGCTATTGTAAGTTGTATTGCTACAAGAGAATGTGGTCACCAGAATGCTGTTAAGCTAATTTGGGGTCCTCCTGGAACTGGCAAAACAAAGACAGTTCCTTCCTTACTTCACGTCTTGTTTAACATGAAATGCAGTACTCTTACTTGTGCTCCCACAAACATTGCTGTGTTAGGAATTACAAAGAGGGTGATGCATCTGGTGCAGGATGGTCTGAAATATGACACCTATGGTTTAGGTGACATAGTGTTATTCGGGAATCGCAAAAGAATGGGGATTGATGATCATGAAGATCTCTTTGACGTTTTTCTCGATAACCGAATTGCTGCTCTTACGAGCTGTCTGTCTCCTGATGATGGGTGGAAAAGTTGTATACTCTCCATGATATCTTTGCTTCGAGATCCTAAAGGGCTATACCATGAATACTTGCAAAATGAAAAACTAACTAAGGGAGATAGCATTAATGATGTTGCAGAGGAAGATAAAGGAAGGATTACAAGTATAGACAATCAAGTACTAGATAAAAATAAGAAGAGTAAGTTGCGGAAAACATTCGTGATCAATCAAGATTTAAAAGATAATGAGAAGAAGATGTCAAATGACAATAAAAATACTCAAATGAAGAATAACCTGAGATCAGTTGACAAAGTTGAGAATGAAGGAGAGGCAAAAAACAAAAAGCAAGCTCGTAGTCTTACATTTGAGGAGTTTGTTACTAGCAAATTCAAAAGGATCTTGGAGCAGTTGACAGTTTGTCTGACGAGCTTGTACACGTATCTGCCTACTTCTTTCATTCCACTAGAAGTAGCTGAAGATATGATCAGAGTTCTTGAGATGCTTCAAACTATTGGAACACTGTTCCGTAATGGGAGATATTTTGCGAATACATTTGAATGCATCGAAGTATTGAGATCTCTTACCGAGAGAATCTCTCTTCCAGATATCACTGATATTTGAAGTTTTTGTCTGAGGGGTGCATGTCTGATTTTCTGCAGTCTCGTGCTCATCAAAATTGTACACGGTAGGAATGTACCCTTTGGAGATGTTGGTAATCGATGAAGCAGCTCAGCTTAAGGAATGTGAAACCGCTATTTCCATGCAGCTTCCAGGTCTACGTCAGGCCATACTCGTAGGGGATGAGAGACAATTGCCTGCAATGGTTCACAGCAAGGTTTTCCGCTGATCTTTTTACTACCATACTTATTTTTCAAGAAAAAAAATGACTTTGTTGCTCTTAGATCATTGATAAAAGTGTACATTATTTCCAGATCTGCGAGAAGGCCAACTTTGGAAGGAGCTTATTTGAAAGGCTGGTAATTGTAGGACACAAGAAGCACCTTCTTAATGTTCAATATAGAATGCATCCTGCAATAAGTTTGTTCCCAAATAGAGAATTCTATGAAAATAAAATTACGGATGGTCGGAATGTAAAAGAAGCAATGTATGAGAAGAGATTTCTTAAAGGAAATATCTTTGGCTCATATTCTTTTATTAACATAAGCAATGGAAATGAGCAGTATGACAACAAACACAGTACTAGAAATATGTCAGAAGTTTATGTCATATCCGAGATCGTTGCCAATCTTCATAAAGGTAATATGTACTATCTTTCAAGTACTTCATCTATGCTTGTGATGACATTTTCTTGTTTTCAGTACTGTATTTCTATTAACATGGCAATTGTGTTGGAAAATCTGATTTCATTTCTAAATTATAGAGTCTGTTACTTCAAGGAGAAAGGTTTCCGTCGGCTGTATATCTCCTTACAAAGCTCAAGTTTTTGAGATTCAACAAAAACTTGGGCATAAATATAGCACAGATGTCAACAGCCACTTCTCAGTAAATGTACGCTCAATTGATGGTTTCCAAGGAGGCGAAGAAGATGTGATAATTATATCCACGGTTCGTTGTAATGGGAGTGGACTAGTGGGATTCCTTTCTAGTTGTCAGAGAGCAAATGTAGCACTGACTCGGGCAAGGTAATAATTTATTGGCTATTCGTATCTTACTACTGTCTTTTGGTGTTCAATCAGTGACAAGATAATTGATGAACATTCTCTTTCTTTGGCTTTGTACGCAGATTCTGCCTTTGGGTGTTAGGGAATGCCAAAACTTTGGTTAACAGTGGTTCCATTTGGAAGCAATTAGTCATTGATTCCAAGGCTCGGGGTCGTTTCTTTGATGTTAATGAAGACAAAAGTTTGGGTCAAGCGATATTGAGTGCTACCATTGAGGTTGGCCAGATTGAAACACTACTCACCATGAACTCCCCTCTGTTCAAAACATCCAAGTGGAAGGTATGCTGCTTTATCTCGCTTATAACGGATTCTTTTCTTGTGAGTGAATTAGTTACTTTGCAAAATTTTGAAGGCCTTCACATAACCCCTAAGCATAACAGGTTCTCTTTAGTGAGGATTTCTCAAAATCCATTGCCAGAATTAAAGATGTTGCAATGCGTAAAGAAGTGATCTCCCTTTTGGAGAAGCTTTCAAGTGGTTGGCGGAATCCAGGAAACTTAAACTTATTCGGCAACAGTGGCAGGAGTTCATATGAACTATTGAAGATATACAGTGTCAAGCACCTAAAATTAATTTGGAGTGTAGATATTTTGCTAGAGAACTTGACATACTTTCAAGTGTTAAAATTCTGGGACATCCTACCAGGACATCAGATATCAAGATTGGTTAAGGTCCTCGACGTCCGTTTTGATACTTATACCATTGATAAGATGAATCGCTGCAAACACAAGCTTGTGGAGCGGTACATACATTTCTTAATTCTTCCTTCTATGAATTGTTGTCTCGTTGTCTGTTCTTAAAAAATGTTAATAACATTTTTCGTATTTCGTATTATGGAAGAACCATTGAGGTGCTGACTTCACAAGTCTTCATGTATTTTCGTAGAAATCTAACACTTCCAATGACTTGGCCAATTGATGGAAATGATAATTCAAGAAAAAACTCAGCTCAAAGTGACCTAGAGAAGAACTCGGCGCATCAACTGGCATCAAGTTTCAGGTACAATATAGGATCTTCAATAAATTCCGAGTTAGTTTGGCGTGTATACTAGAGGGTCCTTCTTCAAGGGAAAATGCGTCATGGTTATGAGAAAAAACAAGATAGAAGAATCTATCATAAAACTTTACCGAGAACTGAGCTTGCTTTTCATTTCTTCATTTATTTGGTGGGAACTATTTCTTCTTTTTTTTATCTAATTGATGAAGCAGAAGTATTCTTTGTTTTCTGATACAGATGTTTTCTTGCCTCTTCCAGAAAAATGCAAGTGTCTAAGTCACAAGATGTCTCAGATGAGGAGTTCGAAGATCCAAACCAGATGAAGATTCGATGTCCCTGTGGAAGCTCATCACAAACTGAACCAATAATTCAGGTTTCACTTCTGTGTTGATTCCCTTCTTCTGCCTTAATTATGAGCAATAAATATGTTGAAGTATGTGATCATCTCAGTTAAAAGGTGAAGCTATTGAAGAGCAAACTTTTATTGTTTAATTGTATTTTCAACTCATGCCTCACGTCTGAGCTTGATTCATTTTCATGGACCAAGCACGTGGATTTTGTTTTAATAGTGGTTGCTGGTGACAGTCAATCCCAGGACCTCTGCTTGCTATGATATCAATTAAATGCACTTTGTTTGTCTTTTAACGGAACTTCACTTGTAGTGTGAAGATAGAAGATGCCGCGCATGGCAACATGTAGATTGTGTCATTATTCCAGAAACGACCATCGAGGGAGTTGCTCAGCAAAATACTCCTGAAACTTTTTATTGCGAATTGTGCAGATTGAGTCACGCAGACCCGTAAGTATCATTTAATTTAATTTCTGCTTACCTCGTTTCATCAACATCAGACTTTCTCAACACATGGGATTCTGTTTTCTCTGCCTCAACATTAGCTATAAACAGACTAGATTATACCATTCAATAGAGCATGTTAGTGCGTTTTCAGGTTCTTATCTCCATGTTGTATCTCTGAGCATAGGAATAAGATATTTATGCTTTCTCTTGACAACACTTTTCAGCTCATGGTTACTCCCTCTGTCCCAATTTATATGACATTCTTTCCTTTTTTTAGTCCGTCTAAAAAAGACAATTTAACTGTAAACTTCTTGTTTTACCCTTAATTAGATGATTTATAGCTACACAAATATATATCTATTACTTGATTAAGACCACATATTTCAAAAGTTTTTCATTTATTTTTAAGCTCTGTAGCTAGTTAAACACCTTAACATATATTGCAACGAGAGGAGTACATGGTTACGTCACAGTTACCTGTCTTCAATTCAAATGAACTATTGTTTATTCTTCATTACGTGTAACGGTTAAGAAGCATGAGAATGAAACAATAGTATGTGGGGAACTCTTCTCTGTCATTTTCTATATGTAAAGTTTTGTGCATAGGAATGTCGATGCCAACAGTAACCGGGGATCTCCTATGCATGGGAGTAAAATCTTAAAAGAGTTATGTTTTTTATTACTCTTCAAAGCCAGCACTTCATTTTGTCTGCGTATGAATGACACATTGAGTTTTTGACTCTTTCTTATATTAACTACATATGGTAATTTAAGTGCTTTGAATGGTCTATACACAGATTCTGGGAGACGATTGATAACCCTTTATATCCCGTGAAGTTTGGTTTTACTAGTGCTCCAGCAGAAGGGTGAGTTACCTGTACCTTGTTAGTTTTGTGAAGCTATATATAATTCTGTTCACGGAATTGATCTGTTACTGTTTTGGCTGGGTTTAAGTTTTAATGTTTATGGTGTTAATTCCTTCTTCAACAAAGTCAAGTGTATAGTGTTACCATTCTCGTCTGGCTTTAACTTTTTTAAACTCCGTATCAACTCAAAACTTGAGAAACAAATGAAACAGGGGGAGTATTTGACACTGTAGGACTAGCTTCATGTATGCCTTTCTTTGCTTTATCCTCTGTCTGTCTTGCTGGGGTTTGTATATGTATTTGTCTGCTCTTGTATGTTAAGCTGTACTCTAACGATTCACCTGTTAATGGAAGGAATCTAAGTATAAGAGTCAATGAATCTAAATGTTCAGTGTGAATTTCAATATATGTGTCTCGAACTCTATAAAAAAATCTGTTAGTTTGTGGCGATAAGAAGAAAAATATTCTCCAATGTATTGCATTTTTGGATGATATGACACACGTGCGACAATTAAATTGTAGAGTCTGCAATATATAAGCATCTCTAGTTCATTAGGAGGATTTTGTGTCTGCTTTCTAGGCTTGACTATTATGACTTTTCTTCTGTCCTTTTCATGCTATTTTTTGGGATATCCCTTTTTGCCTGTTTAGGTGAGCTTACTGCCTTTTCATATTTACATTATACTGGTTACTGTATGAAGAGTGTTTGAGAATTACTTTATATTTGCAAATTTTCAGCATAAACATTGAACAGAAGATTGAAAAAACATTCCAACTCGGTAGAGCCAGCAGATACCTATTGGCAAAACAGGAATATGATCTTCAGGTTGTTGTTTCGAGTAATGCCTTGAGTTCAAATCGAAACTGTGTATTCATTATTTTATTTTATTTTTGCAACATTTTCAGGCTTGGTGCATGCTTCTTAATGACAAGGTACAATTTAGGATGCAATGGCCTCAGAATGTTGATTTGCAGGTCAACGGTATGCTCTATTCCGTCTTGCTCAAGTATATTTTTCTTCATTAATTTATTGTGAGGGTAGAGGTGATTACACAGGGCATGACGGAATTACAGCTTATCGGCTAGTTCAGTAACTTAAATTATATCTGAACTAACAGGAGTTCCAGTGAATTGCATAGATAGAAGTGGCTCACAATTGTTGGGTGCAAATGACCGCGATGATGGCGTGATAGTGAGTACTCGTGTTTTGCCAAGGCTAAATTCATTGTGATTTATAGTTTAATGTAACTTTTAATTCCTCTTTGTTACTTGCCATTTCTCTTTATCTAGATATAAATGAAACTGCCTTGGTTTTCCTGGATTGTAAACCTCAAGTCTTTTTTTTTTGCTTTTTTGACAGATCACACGTTGCTTCAGAGATGGAATTAACAAAATATTATTAACCGGATGTGATGCTCGTGCATTCTGCATAGGGGTTAGACTTGTAGAGCGACGTACTATCCAACAGGTAGTCAAATTTTTGTGACGTACTTCCCTATTTAGTCTGTCTTAATAACGGACATGTACAAGTTATTGACTCTGTTATATATGGTTTGTATCTAGATTCTAAACATGATCCCTAAGGAGGCTGATGGTGAGACATATGAAGGTGCTCTTGCTCGCGTTTGTCGTTGCATTGGGGGTCGTACAGCAACTGAAAATGCTGACAATGATTGTGACCTTGAAGCTGTTGTTGCTGGTTTTGTTCCTGTCAATCTTCGATGCCCTGTAAGCAAATACCTTTTGTTTTGGTTATCCCTTTGCGCTAATTGCAGTATTTTGATTTTCTCGTTTTGCATCGATGTATGTACAGCTGAGTGGTTCAAGAATGAAAATTGCTGGAAGATTCAGACCTTGTTTACATATGGGATGCTTTGATCTTCAAGTATTTATTGAATTGAACCAAAAGTCTAGGAAGGCAAGCGTTCTATCAACTCAATTCAGATTCTTTTTTTATACTATGTTTTTGTATGCGGTGATATATATTTAGTAACAAATGTTGTTCGTTTCATGTAGTGGCAATGCCCTATCTGTTTCAATAACTACTCTCTGGAGCATCTCATTATTGATCCATATTTCAATCGGGTCACTTCTCAGGTTCGGGTTATTATTACTTGTGATCTCATGTCTCAACTATGTTAGCCTCGTTATGAGTTTATATACAACAAGGAGTTGCAGAGTTCATATACACAGATAATATATTACTTCCTCTATTTCAAAATGAATGTTTAGTCCCTATTTTGCCAAAATTATTTAATTTTAACTTTACACAGGGCATGTTTTTAAGCATAATATTAAGAGTATATTGGTACGTTCTACATATCGTTAGTTTAAGATAACATTCAGAAGTCTTTTTTACTTTTTTAACTCATGTCATCATATAAAAAGGAAGTAAAGATTTTATTCTTATTTATGGAAATTTTTCTTTTGTCTTTGGTGGTGCAGATGCAAACTTGTGGAGAATTGGTGACAGAAATAGAAGTGAAACCTGATGGTTCTTGGCGTGCGAAGGCAGAAGGATATCTGAGACAGTGGCACTTACCTCATTGAATCTCAGGACCCAAGCTTGGATTTCTTTATATATACTTTGAAATAGGATCCATGCCAGCACAGTTCAATACATGTTTGAAAAGTCTATTAAATTTTTATATGTTTTCAAAGAATGTGTCTCCCTTTGTTCCAATTCATGTGGCATAAACAATTTTTTTTTATAGATTTTAAATGTTTTAAATTGTTAAAGCGATTGGGCCACACGGGCCTCGCTAAATCATGCCGATGCCCGCATAAGTGGTGGTCGCTTAAGCTGTGCTAGGGCCACATGAGCGACAGGTACAAGCTGCCCAAACTTGCTAACGTGGTGCACTGACAACTAAAGTGAAGCCCGCTTAAGCGAGCCAATGTTGCTAAGGGGTTGCCGCCTGACTAGCCTGTCTCGCTAAAGAGCCCTGGCCACTTAAGAGGACATTAAAGTGAAACCAGGGCCGTAAAAGTTGGGGCACTTGCATCAGGCACTAGAAAATTCGATCTAATATCTCGGACTCCACTTGGGTGCTCGAGATTGGTTCGGAATCCCGTGCACGCAAACAAGATATGTACTCCTATCAAATTCAACATTCTAGACTCAATGGAGTAGTCAAAACTTTCATCCAACGTCATCTCAATAAAAAATGGGTCCTAGACCCAGGGGCAGACCCACGTATTGATTTATGGTGCTCGAGCACCCATTGACCCCGACGGAAATTTTATATATCTATATAGAAAATTCTGAAAAAGTTATATAATATATCCTTCAGCACCCATTAAAGAGAATTGACTGTGGGTGCATGGTCGTGAAGTTGATTGCACAGTTTGTTAAAGTGTCACATCAGGGGTTCGAATCCTGGTGTAACCCCTTAATTTTTTTTGACAAAAATGAAACTGCTTTCATAGTTTTTGTCTTTTCTATAAATATTTTCACAGAATTTTTCTTATATTTCTTTCTAGTTTTTTCAATTTAAGCCAAAATCAACAAGGGGTTCAGAATTAGATTTTGGAAGATTGACGCAGCAGTAAGTAAAAAGAAAACAATACATTGAGCTCTTTTTGTTGTCCCGTGAATGAACAAAGAAAGAAAAGAAAACGAATTCCTTGCTTTTCTGTTTGTGAAGGAGCATGAAGGTATTCATCACAGAAAAGAAAAAGAAGTGGAAACCTGTGCAGTTTTATTTCAGTTCATCGGCATACCTTTATATATATTATCATGGGTTGGGTTAATGTGACATTGATAATTCAAATATGAATTTCAACTGATTTCGATATGAAAATACTCATGGACAAACGAAGATTTTTACTAACCCTACAATACTCCTAGCCTCACTAGTTGAATAACATTGTGATGCTTATATTGAATTGTTGTTTAAGTTCATTGGGCTGCAATGAACATGAATTCTTATAGTGAATTAGTTAATCAAAGTTTGAAATAGAAAATTTTTGAAATTATAACTCTTTGCTGCTAGAAATTTCAAGACTGACAGACCAGTGAATAAATATGAGTTGATAAGTAAGGGTTGAAATGTAACCTTGGGGTTTGGTATTGTAAATTAGTTCATGAAATTGCTCTAACAAGGAGATTTAACACGAGATTCATATGATGTGAATATAGGTTGATCGAACGAAAGTCGTACAGATTACTTGAAATGACAAGTTTGGTATTTCAGTATGAGTATTGTGAGTAGTAATCTTATCAAAATTGATGTTTTATAACTTTTATAATTTTTACATGGTTTATAAAGTAAATGTGTTACTGACTCGACTGTTTTGAACTTGCGGACTATTCTTTTACTGGATATGATACTGAAAATATTGTTTGAGATGATCTCATTCTTACAAGATATGATTATTGTTATTGAAAATGTTTTACACTTATTTGAGAAATAGTATTTTGACAGGTGATTGTTAAACTTTGAAATGATATAATTTGATAAGATTTAAATGTTCTATTCAATTTTGTAATGCTTCTACTGATTACAAGAAAAATTTTAATGGGAGTAGACCTTGATGAATCCCGCAGCTAACCGGGGGGGGGGGGGGGTTTCGTTTGACTTGTAGTTGTTGATTTCTAGTAAAGCCCTTACTAGTGGGAAGGTAGAACTAGTATACTATTACTGATATCCCTCGAGTACGGATCTACTAATATGAATATTGAACTCCTTTATGAGGAGTTCAGTATTATTGGTTACTTGTTAAAGAGAAGACCACTCTGATTACGTGATTCATCCTTGGAAACCTCCCTAATATAAGCTTTGATATGAAAGTGTATTTCTGAGGTTACTACTAAGATTTGATATGAAAGCGTTTTCTTGAGTTTACAACTAAAAGATTTGATACGGAAAGGTTTTCCTGAGTTTCCTATTAAGTATTTACATTGTTTTTGTTTATATGAGGCAGAACAGATTGAATATTGTTATTGTTTATGAAAGATCATTATTTCATCATTATGATTATTGTATTAACATGCTTGTGACTTGTCCCTTATTAAAATTGTTATGGCTAAGTATTATTACTCATTAAGCTAGCGTCTCACTCATCGCTAATGTTTTTACAAAGACATGTGACATTGGTAAGGACTTTCTTGTCTAGAGCTTACGAGTTGACAATTTCTGGTGAGCCTCGCACTTGTTCGCGTGAAACAAGCTTATTAGTTGTTATAGACATTTCTTGAAATTCTAAGAGTCCCTCCATAGTGATTCCTTTTATTAGAAGTTGTGAGTACTCTTTCGTTTCGTAAAATTGTGTCTAGTATGAGACTTCTTATATTTTGGAGTTAGAATTAGCATATTTACTCTTCAAACAGTATATTGATGAGTAAGGTGGATTGGTGATGAGATTGGTTGGTTGTGTTATTTATTTCTAATATATTTATTTCTAATACAGGTAATCTCAGGATAGGCCCAAAAACAGAGGAACTCTGCCCTATTTTCTCTAGGTTTTTGGTTGAGGCTTATTTTGGGATTCATTTCCTTATCGCCGGTCACGGTTCTATATTGGGTCATGAAACTCGAGATTTACAAGAAGTGTCATTATAGAAGAAACTCAACATTTCAAAGCTAATTGCACTGACATAATTCTCTTTAAGCATGTTTACCAAAAATATTAATTGAGGTCAAACTTAAGCCAAAGATTTAAACTTAAAATGTCTAATGGCATAAACTTGCACTAAAAGACTCAGGACATGAGTAAACTATGTCACTAGCCTTAAATGACCCTTCTAAAGCTGATAGAACTGCTAGAATTTAATTCTGAGACCGTCTTCCTAAACTTTTGATCAAAATCAACCATTCAAATTTCAAAATCTCCAACACACAAAAACATACCAAATTAAGCTAATGAACGGCCAGATGATTGAGCTATCATTCTCAACAAGTCCTAACTGATTTGGGGTCACTATAAGAATACTCTAAATGATAAAAAAGAAGAAGTCAATATCACCGAAATAAACTAGACGGTCATTACAACTGTAGTGCTCCCACTATGGAGACAGATTTTTTGCCTTAGAGGAAGTCTCCATAGTGATGCTTAAGCGCTAAAACGGGCCTTTGTGATGACGAGTATCAGACATGATAGCCTAGAGAATGAGAGGCTAAACTCTATTTTCTTCTTATTTTCGCCTTTTATTCTCAACCTAAATTCTATCACCTTTTTAATTCGTATCAATGCAAGAAAAAAATACGAAATTTCTTCCAAACAACCTAGCATAAATATGAGAGTTATAACATCCCAAAACAAGCATTTATTTGCTATCAAAATAAGGAAAGCAATAAAATTGTCTTATGCCAAGTGAGGCAAATCAAAATCAAAGTACGAATATCCAAAAGGGGGATTCCAGTTGTGTGCCCAAATCACCATCATAGGGAAAGGTCTCTTGAATCGGCCTCGCTCATTCTAGGAATGGATTGGTTACACTCATGTTATGCCTCAGTCGATTGTAGAACTAGGATTTTTAGTTTTTAGTTTCCAGACGAACCAATCTTAGAATGAAAGGGTAGTATATTAGCACCTATGGGTCGATATATTTCTTACCTTAAGGCCAGAAAGATGATATCTAAGGTTATATCTATCATTTAGTCTGGGTTAAGGATTCTAACTTTGAAACCCCAACTCTTGAGTCAGTTCCAGTAGTGTGTGAATTTCCAAAAGTGTTTCCAAAAGATCTTCTAGAGTCCCTCTCAAAAGGTAAATCGCCTTTAGGATTAATCTCCTTCTAGATACCCAACCTATTTCTATTCCTCCTTATAGAATGTCTCCAGCAGAGCTTAAGAAATTGAAAGAGAAGTTGAAAGACCTTCTAGATAAGGGCTTCATTAGGCCTAGTATTTCACCATGGGGTGCACCAGTGTTGTTCGTAAAGGAAAAAAGATGGTTCTCTCAGAATGTGAATTGACTATAGACAGTTGAACAAGGGCACAATCAAGAATAAGTATCCCATCCCCAGGATTGAAGACTTGTTTGACCAACTTCAGGGTGCTAGCCATTTCTCAAAGATAGACCTCAGATCAGGTTATCATTAGCTTAGAGTCAGAGATAGTGACATTCCGAAAACAGCCTTCAGAACTTGGTATGGTCATTATGAATTTGTAGTTATGTCATTTGGACTAACTAATGCTCCTGCAGCTTTCATGGATTTGATGAATAGAGTGTTCAAACAGTACTTGGACTTGTTCGTTATCGTCTTTATTGATGATGTCCTCATTTACTCTAGGAGTGAGGAAGAACATTCAAGTCATTTGAGAGTCATTCTGTAGACTCTCAAGTATTTCCAGTTATTCGTTAAGTTTAGTAAATGTGAGTTTTGGTTGCAATCTGTTGCTTTTCTTGGTCACATTGTATCTAGCGAAGGGATCGGAGTGGATTCGCAGAAGATAGAAGTAGTGAAACAGTGGCCCAGACCAACCTCTGCTATAGATATCAGAATTTTCTTAGGTCTAGCGGGTTATTACAGAATGTTTGTGGAAGGATTTTCATACATAGCCTCCCCATTGACTAGGTTGACTTAGAAGATGATCAAATTCTGACGGTCAGATGATTGTGAGAAAAGCTTTGCATAATTGAAAGCTAGATTGACTACATATCCTATCTTGACTCTAACAGAGGGTTCAGATGATTCTGCGGTCTATTGTGATGCATA